GGATTAATGTGGGCTCAGTCTGAGGACCTTTGCTCTTTTTGATTTACATCAATGATATAGATGAAGGAATAGTCAATAAGTCACTTAAATTTGCAGATGATATTAAGGTCTTGGGTGTTGCTAGCTGTGAAGAGGATTCTGCTGATTTACAAAAAGATTTAAATGATTTAGGGAGTTGGGCAAATAAATGGCAGATGAGTTTTAGTAAATGCATGTGGGTTATCATAATTTGAATTATAAGTATAATTTGGATGGGAACAATCTAAATAATGTTATGAAGGAAAGAGATCTTAGTGTAATAGTTGATTAGTCTCTAAAGCCATCCAAGCAATGTGCTGTTGCTAGTGGTAGGGTGAATAGGATTTTAGGTTGTATCTACAGAAATATTGAATACAACTCTAAAGAGGTTATAATTTCATTGTACAGGTCACTGGTTAGGCCACATTTGGAATACTGTGTTTAGTCTTGGGCTCCTTACATTAGGAAAGACATTGAATTGTTAGAAAGGGTTACTAGAATGGTGCCTGGGATGGAAGGTTGTCATACGATGAGAGCCTGAAATTTCTCAATTGTTTTCTCTTGAAGAAAAGAAGAGTTAGGGGGGGATCTGATTGAGGTGTTTAAGATTGTAAAGGGAATTGATAGTGATGATGCATAATATTTTTTTAAATATTTAACAGAGAGAATAGTAGGACTAGGAGACGCATATACATTTTGGCAAGATAGGAGTCATCTTCAGCTTTGATAGTTTCATTTTTCTAACAGGGTGGTTGACCTTTGGAATGGGTTGCCTTTGGATGTTGTTGATGCAGTAAATTTAATTGAGTTTAAGAAAAAAACTTAATAAGTATATGAATGGTAAGGTATGATTTTTTAAATTATTCTAATTTAGTCTAGAGGATGGAACAGCCGAAGTGGAACAATAGGTCCCATGGACAAATTCATACCAACCCTTTCAAACATTATTGAATTTCACATCAAATAAGTGTTAAAAATGTTTTTGTCCTTTAAAAGTCCCATAATGTTTCAGTAACCATCAACCAGGTGAGACAAATGAACAAGCTACTACCTCTAAAAAGATAAATACAAAATGATTAATCAAGTATTTACTTCTCAAAACTACAAAATCATCAAATGGACTTCACCCAAAAGATCTTGATCTCTTGATTACTTTATAAACCAATACTAATAGTCAAGGTCAACAAAATAAGTTGTAAAACACAGAACCCTAGAAGCGATCTCACAAAGAAAACACTACGTAGACATAAGATTACAAGAATATATAACTGAACTGAACTTAAAAGAAGAGCTGTAGTAGTAAGTCAGAAAAACCTCTAACTCTAAAAATCTTCACATCATCTTAGTGGTACACTATCGTACAAACCACATTGAGACAATTCCATTCCAACATATTGTCCATGGCAGGATTAATATTGATGAACTCCCTAAATCTGCTAGCACCAGCTTGTGACCCAAAACATATTTATTCATTGTCAAAAAATAATAAACTTAACAATCCTATCAGATCTACTGTAACATCTTTTACTAAACTTGTTCCTTACAGCTTAGATTCTGCAATGCTCCTCTTGTTCAACTCATTACATTAAAGACAATAATCAATCTATAGACTTTTTCCACTTATACTTATTTTATTAAACATGGACATCAAACCCTTGTACACTGTAGCACAAAGGTTTGATAGCTGTAATTTAAAACATTATTTTAATAAGCTTTCAGCACCTGAACCCTCTATCTTGATGAAGTTAGTCCTAAAATGTAGCATTGTGAACATAGCTTTGCTAACCTCTTTGTTGAATAGGGTGAATAATGCATGTTTACCTAATGTGATAGGTTCTCTTCTAGTACTGTCTCTTATTTAAAACTGATATATTACATAAATGATTAAAACACAAACAATAAATCTAATAGATCACTTCCTTTCCTCGACATACTTCCCTCTATTAAATCAAGGAAGTTAAAAATTATAAACCCAATGATTTACACAATTATTTATATTTCATACCAATGTAATAAGTTAAAAACTTAACATTCCAAAATCATAAAACTGTAGAAACTGCATAGCAAAGAAAGTAAAATGAAGTACAATGTGTCTATAAATACACCCTAAATTTGTATTAGTTTTCTGACGAGCAACAGAGAAGTGCCTAGATGGCTTGAGTGACTTATCCACCACTATGCCAGTATCTTTTTATTCAGTCACATTATTAAGTGGGTTCCAATCTATATTAAAGGTAGGATCCCAATTATGATAACCTAAATGCATTATATTGAAACTCCTATATTAAAGGTCATTTGCCCAATTAACTAGCTGAGCCCAGTAATTCTGTAGTGCCTCAACATCCTCAATGCAACTTGAAATACTTAACAGTTAATGTCAGAAAACTTTACTAATTTACTAAATTTGCCTTTATAAATGTCATTAACATACATAAGAAACAGCACAGGTCTAAGCACTGACTCATGCACTCCACTAGTAACAAGGGTCTAGTTATATTTGACTCCATTAATAACAGCCTTTTACTTTCTTCCATCCAAGCACCATGCAATCCAATAAACTTGTTTTTCTGCTAATTCCTACCAATTTGATTTTTTTAGCTAATCTTTTGTGTGTCATCTTATCAAAACCTTTTTGAAAATATAAGTACATCAAGTCTATATCCCTTCCATCATCCAAATAACATGCATAATCCTCTAAATTAAAATTTAAAAAAATACGTTACTATTACTAAGGCAAGATTTCCCTTTGATAAATTCATCTTGGCTTTCATTTATATCATATTTCTCTAAATAAACTTGTAACGATTCTTTTATCACTTTCTACAATTTCTTCTAGACCAGGTCTATTTGCATAGATGGTGTGTTTCATGTATGAATTTGGCTATTTTGGGGGTAAATTCTAGAATTTTTATAAGTAATGATGTTCTCTTATTCACAAAGAATTAAATATTTAACATTCATTGCTTTTAAGTTTGCTTGACACCACCTTGATAAAAATTGGTGAACAACTAAAGTCTTACAGAAAAGGTTTTCATTATTCCATTGTGACTATCACATGCACTCCCCAGTGGTAAGTCTGCAAACCTATAAACACTAGAAACCAGGTTTCAATACCCATAGGGGCACAGCACAGATACCGAGACAGCCCATTGTGCAGCTTTGTTTAACTACACACAAACAAAAAGACTACCACATGATTAGCACAACTCGGTAATAACAGGTAAAAAGAAATCTCTATCTTTCCAATGTAGAAAATTAGGGCAAAATTAATCAGAGATAATTTATTTTGGATCAACAACAATTCAAAATTTAAAATAATTAACAGGTTGAATGTGATGCTCTACCAACTGGATGAGGTGAGCTAGTGTTCATATCGCACAGACATATACATGAAACTCAGTCTCACTTGTTTCAAATTCAAGGCCTCCATGTAAACAGACCCTTTTTCTTTCAAACTAGATATGACCAACTGCCTATAATTACCATGGCAACTCTTATCATCCCCTTTTTAAGTTTAAAAATTAAATTGTAGTAAGTTTCCAGTCCTTCATGCTTACCAAAATTATTTTCAAGGGAAGCGCTCAGTTGTATATTTGATATTTGAATACAAATTTATACACCTTTCATACCCTTGTGCATTATATATTTCTGAACACTACAGCATCTCAGTAAATTTTCAAATAACCATTAATTTGATGTCATCTGTAATTAGTAAACTTGAACAATTTTGTCACCAATTCTGTTACTGTTAGCCTAGATTGGTTGCTCTATATTATGATCGCTGATTAACCCCATACTTATTTATTAATAACGCTAAAGACTAGTAAAGTAAATTGGCAATAAAATTAAAATAAAAAGTCTATCAACTTTAAGTTCAAGTGTAACTAATTATAAATAACTAATTTATAAATATAATTGCAATATATTTTTGTTGTTTAAAAATTAAATATAATAGTGTAAAATAAAATAAAACATATATCGTACGTTTGTTACTGAAATATTTTACCTTGGCTTGAGAAATAAACTTTAGATTCTAAAGACTGCTGCGAGAAATTGTCATTAAAAGTGCTGAAATTACTCCATTTTACACGCTTAATTAACTAAGAACTAAACCTAAAAAGGCTTCATGTTTAATTATGGCGCCGTCCTGTAAGTATTCGTGTTATTTACAAGGGTACCAAACTGATACTGATAACCTAAAGCAGTTATCATAGATCCTTTTCGTACTTTGCCTTGTTCATAATTAAGATTATTTATTATTAATTGTAATTATTATTGTAGAATTTCAGCAGCTCTTCTGATAGAAGTCATTACAAAATGACATATAAAATATGTACATGCTTTGCAAGGTAGCGATTTTTATTTGTACTTTTAGTTATGATTTTATTTATGCAAATTTTCCTTCTATCATTTAGTTCATTGCTGTTGTATCAAATGGCTCACGTAAATTGTGTTCCAACTATTGAGGTGTTTTGTTGTATCCAAGATGACCTGAAGAGCTCTGGATTGAGCGAAATATAGTGTGGGTAGAATACTATTATTATACATTCTTCTAATTCTTAAAAACCCTAAGGGACTAAATTAAGAATGTAGCATATAAGTATGTAATAGGCCTAATACTAATGTACTATAACAAATAATATTTTAATTTTCTTTTGGTGGCTCGTAAAAAGACTTAAACATCATTAATAATAATAGTTTTCCAGTCGCACTATATTTGTCATATCTATTGTCGACGACACGTTTTATTCTATCCAGAGCTCTTCCGGTGGGCTGGGATACAAAAAACATAGTGTACTAGATAAAGAATGTAGTGTTTAAAAATGTACCAATGTCTCACGACAAGTACAATTGTAATCATTTCTTGCCAGCTTGTAAAGGCACACACACCATAACAAACAACTGTTATATATACATGATCCTGGAAAAACACGTACGTTCAAGAAATCAATTTAACTCAAATATACGACACCCTTTAAGCCAAGCGCTTTCGAAAGGTGGACCTTTCTTTTTCAGGGTGCCTCTGAAGAATAAAGGTCCACCGTTTGAAAGCGCTCAGCTTATAGGGTATGTACCATAAGTACGGTAATACTTATAATAGGAATGGGCCAGAGGTGCAAGATGTGCAATACAAATTGAAATATCAAACACAGTGCAAACAGCATGTAAAGAAAACTTTATAAGTACTTCATATACACTGGTGAGTAGTAAACAAACCAATTGCAGAGTAACAAGCCACCAAAGCACTTGAGAGAGTTGATAGAGTAAAAACAACAATTTCACAAACCCACAATTGTGTCAATCTGACTATCCAGCTAACTTACTGACTAACTAACGTTGCTGGAAAGGCGCGTTTCTCTTTTCGTCATATCTAAATGCATATAATTGAATTATGCTATCTTGAAAAGCGTTTTCTTAGTTTTACTTATAACTTTGGTAATAACAATACATTAGTAACCATGTTCTATTATTACGATCACACTCTGTGAGTTCCCAAGTAAAAACCTGCTCTCATATTACCTACAGTGCACGATTACTTATACACACGCACTACGTGCCTTAGACGTGAGTCTTTTACGTGAGGACGAACGCTACTACTCCCGAAGTGTAACACGGCTTTGCTCGAGTGCTCTGGAGTGAAAACAAGAATAGTAAGTTGTATAGTTTACCTTTGCATTGTTTTAAACTAATTGTGACCTATTGGCGTCTAAGGTTGTACTGGAAACAGTGTGAGTTTTAAAATATGTCTTGCAAGAAACAAAACGAGAGAAAAGTAGAAAATTATATGTTGTTAACCTTGAAAAGTCTTTGTCCCAGTGAAAAGAGCATAATGCAAGAATAGAGATAAGGTTAGAAACAGCAATGCTGAATATGCAAAATAAGGCTTAGCCATTAATCCAGCCAAAGTTAAGGCTTTCACCCTGGCTAGATGGAAGAAAAACTAAAACAAAGTATCAGCAAAAGCCAAGGAATGTCTAAAGATAGCCTTAAGAAAAGCTATGAAAAGGATAGGCCTAGAGCCCAGTCGCTCTCGAGACTTAGTACCAAAAAATAGCTATATGAGACAAGCGTAAAAAATTTGTAAGTAAAAAATTACGAAGATGGAAATGGGACCACCAAAAAGTAAGGAAACGAGGTAGGAATGGGTGAAATAACATTACAACACATGGTGGTTTTTGACACACGCAAACTCAAAGTGGGTGTGGCCATCATTCCACCCATTCTTACTTCGGATTTTACTTTGAACTATCATCCAATTAATGACTTGAATTGAGTTTTATCAGTAGCTAATCCTTTCTAAATACTCAACAAATTTAAAATATTATTCTTTTGTGCTACCTCTTGCCAGTCAGATAGTTATAATGTCTCCCATAAGCAAAAAATGACTTTTGGAGCTTCCTGTCTCACTGCCAACATGAAACACTCCTTATGATGTCATGCATTTCATATATCTTCTATGTTTATTTCTATAATTCCATGTTTTTTGCAGTAACTGGCCATGAACCATAGATCCTCATATCTGCAGTCCGAAATGCAAACCATTGGGAGGCATGTTAGTGGAGTTTATTATATTCGATATTCGATTTACTGGGACAAATGTTATTCCTGTGGTATGACCAATGATTATTATAGAATTTCACTATAAAAATATTGTAGTCTAAGGATAAACCTAATACGCATTTACCATATCTTTGGAATAACTGGATATCCCAGGAATTAGGGTGTAGAAAGAGAGAGGTGTAGTACTTTGTTGTAGGTAGACTGAAAAGGATAACTCACTGTATTAAGTTGAAATTTAAAAGAAAAAATAGCAGAAAATAATAGCTTTTAGTACTGGTAAAAGGCTATTGCATCGTGCATTTATTTAAAAAATAAATTAATTAATAAGCTGTATTTAAATAAAAACAATAAATAAAGGGAAACTAATTTTACAAAATATGACTAAAAATAAACTTTAATGGTAGTGAAGATGAACCATGCATGATTAATAGGTATAGTGTAGACAATGAAATGTAGAACCCAAGGCTTTAACAGCAAATTCCAGGTTATCTGAGACAAGGAATGTATCTGTTTGAAAGAAAGTGAAAAAAAAGCATTTATAGATTGCCTTTTATTCCTTTAACTGACTAATCAGGAATTGAATAACAAGAATCCGGAAATAATTTCATTGTATATGACAGTTTTAGAGCAGTCTGTCACGAACACAGAATAAAGTAGAGCTCAATACAACTACAACATACTAAAACAGTATATATATATAAATATATATATATATATATATATACACTGTTTTATGTAATAGTTGTATTACATTCTATTTTACTTTACTTTATACATTTAGCTTTCATTATTTGGCTCTGCTACAGATAGTAACACTTAGTGTTGAACTTAGCACCTAGCCTCTTGACTAGAGTCACGTGTTCCATATTGGTGAAAATAAAATAAATATCAGAGGAAAATGAGATATTCTGTAGGTATTTACATGTCAAATCTTCCTTTGTCTTGAGCTTGTCCTCAAGTGAACAAGAAAATCACATTTCTTGTTTAGACTAGATGCAATGCAACAGAATGACGTGGGATAATCAACTTGGACCATATATATATGAGACTAGGGTGTCCCAAAAAACACTTTTTTTAAATGTCCTAATTTTCGGGCCTAATGCCATTAAATGGATGGTAACTAAACTATTAAGACCAAAATTGGCGTAACTGAAGAAAAAACTATTGCCTCAACAGTATTTTTTGTTCAAGGAAAAAACAATAATTTTTTTAATTTTTTGGTTTTTTCTGATTTACTTTTCAAGGTCAAAATTTGATTAAAAGATGTATGTGATGGGAATTGTCATGACAGCTACTGAAACAAGCTTTTTAATCTCCTGCAATTTGTCTAAGATGACTATCTCAAACCTCATCCCCACATAGTGCAAATACCTCATACATCATGGTGGTGACTCATGATTTCATTTGAGAGTCCTTGAACAAACTTGTTGATGAGGGAATATTTGTGATCTTCAACCACCATTACAGGATATACATTGCTATGCAAATAGATTAGGTCAGCCAAGAAAGGGACCCAAGTTCTCAGAGGACCTCTCCTTCGATCCTTGAACTCATCATGGTGGACGGTTCAATTTTCCACTAAGTAAAACCCACTATTACAGCTCAGTTACGACTGTTTCCTAGTCTCATACTTCAAGCTGTGTACTTTACCCCTCTTTCCACTTCTTTCTTCTGTGGATGGTCTTGTCCAAAGATGGGGTAGTGTGTTTGTTAATGGCGAGTGCCTAGGGTTTCTATAGAAGCCATCCCACTCAGTCCTGGATATCCTGGGAAATACACCACTATAGAAGGACCTTATCTGTCCTTCTGAGTACCCTAGACAGTATTTGATCACTGACCTAGGTTGTTGGCTACTGGCCGTTAAAGACCTTCATTGTACTTATAAAAGTCTGAGACATAGAAGGGGACTCTCTCCGTATCTAGTCACCATTTCCGGATGTTGCACTTCCACAGCCCCTTCCAGTTTATATGTACTGTGTGTTGCAGGAACGCCATTCCGACATAGACAGTGATGTGGCACATTAACTTGGTGTCAAACAGTCTGGTCACACACCCAATCCAAAAAACATGAACATCCATACCAACATCCAAGGTCATGACACCAAAATTTCCCCTTCCCTACTACTCTATGATATATTCCAAGTTAAAGATTTTCCACCGAGCAAAAGTAGTGTCTGATAAACAGAATGTTCAATGAATATGATAATATGGAATACGGGTTCAGAAACTTTCTGAACTCCAACTGAGTCTATCAATAATAAAAAAAAAGAGTCGCTACAAAATAATCGTTATTGAAATAAACACGGCCCGGCATGGCTAGGTGGTTAAGGCGCTCAACACACAATCTGAAGGTCGCGGGTTCGAATACCGTCACACCAAACATGCTCGCTCTTTCAGCCGTGGGAGCGTTATAATGTGACGGCCAATCCCATTATTAGTTGGTAAAAGAGTAGCCCAAGAGTTGGCGGTGGGTTGTGATGACTAGCTGCCTTCCCTCTAGTCTTACACTGCTAAATTAGGGATTAAAGTTTTTCTTCATTACCCATTTAAGCCGTCTCCAGCCATTATTAGTCTCAAAGTGGGTTCCTCGTCATCGAAATCGAAATTGATAAGAGCTTTCCTTGTTGGAAATGATTACACCAGTAAGCCAGCATCTGTTCCTTTTGATGGCGGAAAAGAGGTCAAAGTGCAAGATGGTGAACATGCTATTTCATTTGAAAAAGAAAACAATGAAGAAACTGTTCTCTGTACTGTTAAAAGCTACAATAATAATAAACAAGAGGATTCCACTTTGTCAGAAACAAATCCACAGAATAGTGTTGCTAAGCTAAAAGAGTATGACTTAATAAATATTTTAGCACACAGGGATATTGGATTTATGAAGTTTGATACAACAGGCTCAGCAGTTGTAACACATGTACATCGCACAGAGATTGTTAAAGTTAGAGCACATGAATTTCAACATAAAGTGGAAAAAATTGAAAAGTTAAATGCCCATGAAAATGGTGACAGTCATCGTGAGTCATTTGCTGCTTGGAAAGAAACAGAACGCCGAATTCGTCTTCC